TCCTCCTCCTCCTCCTCCTCCTCCTCCTCCTCCTCCTCCTCCTCCTCTGGCTCTTTTTTTTTCATCCAGGTATCTGTGGAAGGCAGTGGCTGAATCCCAGCGGATTAATCAACATGACGGGGGTGCAAGCCAGGATTTGCACGGTGGCCATAGGCCGGCCTTTAGGGGAGACGATCGGAGTCCAGGTGTTGCACAGTTCCCTGAACTGCAGCGCAGGTGAGCGTCTCCCAGGTTTGGTGCTGATCATCAACCCAAAGATTTATAACCAAAGATCCATTCTCCACCCTCTTCTCTCTCTCTCTCTCTTTCCAGGGGAGATATTGCTCTTTTCAACACGGACGATGTGGCGGATGGCTTGCAAGAAACTGAAACTGCTGATGGTGAACACCCGGACCAACACCCTGATTGTGAGGCAGCGCCGGCTGTTGCCGGGCAGTGGCGTTGTGCTACGCTACACCAGCGGATTGGCTGAGAGGAGGCACCATCAAGGTGTGTGTATGTGTGCAATCCCTGGAAGGGTTTCCCCCCAGAAGTTTTGGGTGAGCTGCATCAATGGAGGTTTTCAAGAAGAGACCGGACAGCCGTCGGCCTGGGCTGATGTATAGGATCTCCCACTTGAGCTGTGGGTTGGACTAGAAGACCTTTGAGGCCCCTTCAAAACTCTTTTAGTTCTTCTGTGCTCTTTCCCGCGCTGCAGCCTGCGACAGGCAGCTGTTTGGTCCCCGGGGGCTGATCCTGAACCCAGGACTGTCGCCGGATGGGGAACGGCAGATGGCTTGCAGGATATTTATCGACGTGGCGCCCCACCTGCGCATCGCCGTACACGCGGTGTACGTGGCATTCCAAACAACGGCCAACGAAACACACTCCAGCTACATTTCGGTAAGCGTGAATTGAGGGGGGGGGCGTTTACAGAGCCCTCCCGTTGGAGCGTAGAATTAACAGGGGCCTTGGAAGGGACCTTGAGGGGTCATCTAGTCCAACTCCTCCCTGCTCAAGGCAGGAGACTTGTATCATCTCGGACAAATGGCTGCCCAATCTTTTCTTCAGAACATACACATAGATAGATGGTAGAATGATGATGGATGGATGGAGAGAGAGAGAGGGGTGGGATGGGATGGATGGATGGATGGATGGAAGGAAAAAGAGGGTGGGGATGGATGGGTAAAGAGAGAGATAGGTTGAGGTTCAATGGATGGAGAGAGAGAGAGAGAGAGAGAGGGTGAGGATGGATGGATGGAAGGATGGTAGACTTACAAAAAGCCATCGACGCAGGCAGGCTGAGCGAGCCCCATTTCCTGTTCCAGATTCGAGATGTCCAGTCCTTGAGGACTACCGTCTTCCATGGGAACCGTCTTTTCTACTGGGAATCCACCGGCAGCCGAGCTGAGATCGAGTTCAACCAAGCCCTGGCCAACGCCAGCTTCCGAGCAGAGTACTGGGCCACCAAGTAGCCCTCTTGGGAGATTGGCCGAAGTGGAAAGTGCCGCCAAGGGAGGGGATTGCAGAATTGTCGGAAGGGACCCGGGAGGCCCTCTAGTCAAACCCCACCCCTGCTCCAATCGGACAGGAGGCTGCTGAGCTCTCTCTCCTCAAAAATCATGGACGCTTATGCCTTCCCAGACATCTCTTATGCCTCTGTTTTTGCAAACAATCATTGATTGTCTTCTCGTTGGTGCTTCTGTCAAGCTACCCAAAGCTGGGTTGGGTCGGTCAAAACTTCTGCCTTTTAATAAAACGTGTTAGTTGTTCCTCTTTGTTTAGGATTTGAGGGATCAGGGCCACTCGGAAAAAGGGAGTAAATAGTGCGATTGCAGCGACTAGGCGGCCGTAGAAGAGAATCATTTTAGTTCCGGGTTGAACGGCAGGGTCCTTGGTGCTCTCTGGGATGGGCTGCTTTCAGCCCTAGCCCTGATGGTGTTACCTAGCTGGGTCATGAAACGCCTGCAAAGAACTGAGCTCAGATCTACTATATATAAACAGGGATAAAAATAGCACCCACTAGCCCTGATGATGTTACCTAGTTGGGTCATGAAACGTCTGCAAGAAAACAACCCAGAAGTTCCTCTGAAACTGAGACTCTTCTCCTCTGCTTGTGTTTTGCATTTGCAAGGGATTTCTTTCCAGGTGGGGAGGGGGAGTAGAACTCTTTAGCATCAGAGCGTGTTAATAATAATAATAATAATAATAATAATAATAATAATAATAATAATATAGGAAATACTCTAAATGCTCTGAGGGTCATTTCAAAAAACCTTTTCTTAGTGAGCTCCTAAGAAGCCAAGAGGAACATAGGTGCCAAATGTCAAGTTTGTAGGCTTTGCGGTTCTGGAGATTTTGTGATGATGCCTGAGTGACATTTTGCTTTTATATAGATAGAGAAGAAGATATCTATATCTATTAGGGGTCTCTGCCATCAGGCACCTCGGCCAACCAACTTCAAATTAAAGAGATGGACTGCGTGAGGTGTAGAAAGTCACACATACAAAAAAATCTGTTGGTCCATTTCATCCGGGGGTGTGTGGGGGGTGTGTGTGTGTGTGAATTGAGGCGGGCACCATCGCCCCCTCTGGCCAGGTCACTCTTCACATCTGGGGATGAGCCCAGCCTGCCCTCCTCCTGGGGAGGACGGACCCAGCATGCACTGCCAACGGGGAGGGATGTGTGGAGAAAGGCATCGGCGGCTGGGAGGGGGCAGGGCTGTTGCCTTGTCTCTCCATTGTCCGCCCCAGCCGGTGGGCAGCCGCCCTGGCTGGGCACCGGCAAGGGATACACACTGAGGACTAGAAGCGTGGCCGGTCCGTCTCGCCAGGGGAGGGAGGGGCAGGCGGAATGAATCCCCAGGAGGAACAGCCCGAAGCCGACGGGGCGCCGGCTGCCAGCCAGGAGGATGGTATGACCTGGTGGTACAAATGGCTGTGCAGGCTGGCTGGCATCTTGGGGGCCATCTGTGAGTATTCCCTCCTGGGACACCTCCCCCCCCATCCTCCCCAAAAAAATAATCGCTCGTGTTGGGACTTTGCTTGTGTGTGTTTGCGTGTTTGTGTGTAAAATGACCTGCTTTGCACAACTGAAGGCATTGCACTCCTTCCTAAAGGTTGATTCTCCGTCTTGATGGAAATGCCTTTCTTGCTGGTTGGGCTGTGCTCAAAAGTTGTGTGGACTCTCTCTCTCTCTCTCTGTGTGTGTGTGTGTGTGTGATCTGTTTCTGCAAAACCAGGTGCACGCCTTCCCTTCCTTCCCACCCCCTAAATATTGATTTACCACTTGGTGGAAATCACCTACAGGGCTGTGGCTGGGCACCTTCCCCAGAGTTTTTGCGGAGAAGGGCTTGTGCGTTTATGCGGAGAGTGTGCGTATGATGATCTGCTTTGCACAACCAAATGCAACGCACACAACCCCTTCCCCTCTCTGTCCATTAGTACAATGCAGGTCATAATCCTGGAAAGTCATCCAGCCAGTAAACACCCCGTTGCCCGGATAGCCACACACCGCCAGGGATTATCGGTTCAAAAGATGACGATTTAGCCTATAAATGTCAGCACAGCCCGTTGCTTTCTGTCATTGTTGGTGTTCCCTGGGGAATGCCATTGGAAACACAATTTAGACCCACAACTTACGTCGCTGGACTTTGTTCCCCTTGCCCTGGAAATTGTCCCGTTGTGCAAAATCGACGATTAGGTCATCCTTAGTCAGGGCCAGAGTCCGTGTTTGCAAAGTGGAGCTCCAGACACCCTTGCAAGGTTGCTGTTTAGGCAAACAATCCAATTTTTTTTATCTCTCTTCTAAAATGATGTTTCTCAACTTGGGAGCTCCGTGGACTCCCAGAATTCCCAGAATTCCCCAGCCAGCTGTGGGAATTTCTTGGACCAGAATTCCATCCCTCTTCCATTTGGCTCGTGTTCAAAAATTATATATATATATATCTCCAAATTTCATTTTTATACCCCATACAGGCTTTAATTTTTATTATTTTTTATTTTAAAGGGGGACATTTTTGTTATCAACTCAGCCACTGGCTCAGCCTGTCTTCCATGCAAGGCTCAGACGATGCCTTGAAAAATACTGGAATTAAGTTACTTGGCTGAGCTTACACTCGATGGAACAACGGATGTCTGGTCAGCGGAGAAGATCGTGTTGCAAGGATAATGTAATGTAATCACCAGCTGGGTAGCAGCCCTGCCTGGTTATTCTGCCCTTTAAGGACAACAAAATTGGGGCATTTTGAGCAAGTGGCAGCCTCCAGTGGAGCTGATTTCAGGGGGTTAAGCCAGTCAGATGGGATAAGTACTTCGAGAAGACACCAGCAGGAAATCCCAGGCTTGGAAATTCGGGTGGGAAAAAAAAAACCCATCCAGTGGGAAAAACTGAGTATTTCCTTAACATTATGGGAGCCATGGTGCTTTCTGAGCTGGGTGGTTTCCTTGCAGACGTTTCGAGACCCAAGTAGGGAACATCATCAGTTCTAGAAGGGAGAAGGGCTTTCTGTGTGTTTATACACAGTCACTCTGGGCTTGCTTGTTTTCTGGTAGACGTTTCATTACCCATCTAGGTAACATCATCAGTGCAAGAAGGGTTTTCAGAGAGAGGTAAGAGGAAGAGGAGGAGACTGTGAGGCCCTTGGTGGTTTCTGGATTTGGTGCTTTGCTTGGAAATGACCAAGGATAATCATCAATACACTGATGATGTTACTTAGTTGGGTAATGAAACGTCTGCAAAAAATAATAATAATAATAATCAACAGATTCACTTAACATCCATGTTAATGAACTTAACTGCAGTGATTCACTTTTATGGCAAGAAAAGTGAGGGAAAAAAAGGGCCAAAACTCACAACTGTCTGGCTCAGCAACGGGAATGAGATTTTTCTCGTCCTCAAAACTTCTTCCTTTCTTCTCCTTTCTTTTCATCCAGCATGTGCTTTTTCTGGTCTCTGGATGTGCCTGACCATTTACCCGTTGAACATCGCTGCCGGAGTCTGGATGATGTAAGTATAAAGTCTATTTTCTGCATTATTTGTTTGCAACCGTGGCTGTCAACAGCCTCAAAGCGATGGCGAGGAAGGTGATGGCTATTACGCATTTCCCCGAAAATAAGACCGAGTCTTATATTCATTTTGGCTCCAAAGGACACATTAGTGCTTATTTTCTGGTTAGGTCTTATATTCGGGGAAATACCGGGGTCTAAATGCATCCGTCTGGCTGATAATCTTAACTGGGGCTTATTTTCCGGTTAGGTCTTATTTTGGTGAAAAGACTGTAGATAAAAGAATTGGGGGGAAAATTCAGAACTTGGTTATCCCATCTGCAGCAAGAATATTCAGTCCTTGCAAAAAACGGAAAGACACATCAATTCCTACAATGGGAGAACGGATGGAAAAATCCTGGAATTGGGCCAAGGTGGTAAAATTAGCTATTTTAATTAGGGGGGCGGGAAGAAACGTAACTTTTGGACTTCTGCTCGAAAGAAACACGAGGGAAAGCTTGGTTTTGACTCTCAGGGTTAAACGCTTTGCTGTTACAGAAATGGCCAGCGCTTGCTATTCTTAAGGAAAAAGTTGAGATTTCTAATTTTAATCGTGCGCTTTACAGCACCAGGAAAAAAATAAAAGCTGGAGGCCTGGGCTTTTTTTATTTTTGTTCTTTTTCCTTTTTTCCCTAGACCGATTTTCCGCATAGTCTTTATTTTCATTTGTATTTTATAGGGAGGGGGAAAAAAACTTTTTTTTTTTTGAAATGAAAATGAAAATTATTAATCAATTGAAAAATTATTACTTTTTTTTAAAAAAAGCTGCTTAGAAAGGGAGGGGTTTTCCTCTCCCAGAAAGATAGATGAGAATTTCCCTGACTGAATTCAGTTTTTTTTTTCTTCCCAAGGTTAAATGCCTTCGTTCTCCTACTATGTGAAGCTCCCTTCTGTTGCCAGTTCATCGAATTTGCAAATGTTGTCTCGGCCAAAGCAGACCAGCTTCGTCCCTGGCAGAAGGCAGTTTTCTATTGTGGGTGAGTGTTATCCTTGTGTTGTCCTTGGTCTTAGAGAACAGCCTCACTTTTTAAGGTCTCTGGAGGCTAAACTGTACGATGAATGGTTGCGGGAACGAGGTCTCTCTAGCCTAATGAAGAGAAAGGCCTCATACCAGTCTCCCAATATTTGAGGGGCTGCCCCAAAGAAGAGGAGGGGGTCAAGCTATTCTCCAAAGCCCCTGAAGGCAGGACAAGAAGCAACAGATGGAAGCTAATCAAGGAGAGAAGCAACCTAGAACAAAGGAGAAATTCCCTGATAGTTAGTAAAATTAACCAATGGAACCGCTTGCCACTAGAAGTTGTGGGTTTTCCATCACTGGAGGTTTTCAAGAAGACATTGGACAGGCATTTGTTGAGAATGGTGCAGGGTCTTGTTTGAGCAAGGGGTTGGACTAGAAGACCTCCAAGGTCCCTGCCTTTGCCAAGCAAGAGAATTGCAGTTTTGTCCTTGAGTTACCACCATTCGCTTAGCAAACCTTCCAGGTTTTGGAATTTGCTGCACAATGGCACGATTCATGTAGGAACAGCAGGGATGTGCTTAAGCACATTGGCAACCCGGTCAAAACTCTGCTTTTTTTTCAGAAAGGGCGTAGCATGGGGGGGGTCACTAAGTCGTAAACCGAAGACTACCTGTTGGGCTGGTTTGGGCTTCAGAATACCTGGTGGGCAAAACCCAGTTTTCGTTGGCCCCTTTCCTGTCTCCCTTGAAACATCTTTCCTGGCTAAATTGTGGTTGGCGTTTATCCTCGGTTTGTTCTCTTCTCCTTTTTCCCAGGATGGCTGTGTTCCCGGTTGTTCTAAGCTTGACTCTGACTACCTTGTTCGGCAACGCCATTGCCTTCGCTACGGGCATGCTTTATGGACTCTCTGCGCTGGGTAAAAAGTAAGAGACCTTTGCGGGACAGGAAAACTGACGTTGCTTCGTTGGGGTTGCCAAGACGGGAAGAGACCCGTGAGCTCTTTGGTTGGATGCCGGTCTTTAGGGCAGGGAAAAAGGGTTTGGGCTTTTGAGGAGCAATTAGGAGAAGCTGGCATCTCAGAAAGGAAAGGCCCCCACGGCTCAAGCCTGAGCTACAAATATGAATCCATCCAGATCCGTATAAAAATATTCCCTTCGACCTGCCGGTTAGACTAGATAGTCAAGAAAGCATGAAACGAAAAGGTGCGGCTTTCTTGAGATCTACAGGATCCCCCTGTTCCGGTTAGGATCTGGTTCTGTTTTGCCTGTACCGGCAGTTGTGTGGTGCGGTCTCTCAACACCTCTGTTGTCTTCCCCAGGGGAGACGCCATCGCCTACGCCAGGATGCAACAGATCCAACAAAAGCCAACCGATGGCGATGGGACGACAGAAAATGCGCCGGCGCAACTGGTGTGACCTTTTTTTTATTTTCTTCCATCACACTTTTGGAAGCAGACTTCCGCTCCGTCTCCTTTGGAGCGCTTCCGAAGTTAATTCCGTTTTGAATTTCAGCGCCGCTGTGAATTTTAAGATGCTGCAGTTTTTTAAAAGGATTTAAAACAGGGTTTCACACACACACAGACACACACATACACCGCTTAATATCTCAGGTCAAAGTGGAATCAAAGCACATGCAAAAAAAACCCTCCCAAGCAAGGTGAAATTCTCTTTTGGTTCTTTTCCAAAGAAGAGGCGGCAGCGTTCCGGTTTGCGTCTCAGATTTTGAAGAGCGGGGCAGAAGAAAGACCTTCCTCTTCCTAACGTTGCCGCTGCTTTTTAAAAACCCTGCTTCTTTTTCCACTTCACAACCACCATGATGACGCAACACAACAGAGTTGTGGCAGAGGAAGGGCAAAATAATGATTAAGCCAGGCTGCCAGCAGCGGTTTTCTAGAAGGTTGACGTGGTGTCCAACCTGATTTGCAAACAAAAATAATAATAATAAATCCCAAAACGTGGATAGATTTTTTTCGGAGGAGTGAGAATTGCCATTTCGAACGTCCAAAATAAAAGAGCAAAAAAAAATAATAATAATTACCCTGGAGATAAAAATCCAGGCCGTTCTTATTTGCAGCAATTAATCCAACTTTGATTATCGTCGGAAGAGTCTCAGAATCAGGGAAAGGAAGCAATTTTTGAAACCAGAACAGGAAGAAAATGAATTTTTAGCTTCGATTGTTTGGGTTTTTTTCCTGGCCTCTGATGAATGTACTCTTTGCAGCCCAAAATGTCAGGTGACTTTGGTGTCATTTTTCACCTGTTCTTCAAACTTTGGCAAAGCAAAAGGTGATTTGGGGCAATCCTTTCTCTCGAGTTTTTAAGAGAGCTGTGATTTCATATTGTTAGAAATTAGGGAAGTGTGTGTGTGTTGATTGTGAGATGATGCGTTTTGTTACGCAGAGAAATAACTGAAAGATTGTTTTCTTTGCGGTCCTAGTTCCCTTTTAGGGGTCTTCCTTATTCGAGGATTTTCAGCGACCGTTCCCAAAATTCGGAATTTCATATCGAAGGCTATTTCCTTCTAGCAGCTTCAAATGCAGAGCGGTGGTTTTTTTTCGGTAGCAGTTGTTTAAGGCTGGGCCAATTCACTGCATTGTCAAAATGAAGGAAAAACTCCCAGCAACACCAATTTTCTTAATTTTTAAGGGGGCACCAAAGATAGACCACGTTTGACATCTTCTTACACACTCCAAAACATGTTTGAGGAATTGGATTTTGGAAAGTGGGTTGGGTTTTTTTGGTGGTGGTGGGGAAATGGGGCTAACAGGCTCCATTGTGAACACCGAGGATTGGGGGACTGTAAAAAGAAACCCAAGCGTTTTTAGGGATTTGGGAAATGTAAAATTCTCGCTTTGTTTTAAAGTTGATGTGATAGCATGATATTTGGGCAAAGAAAAATGCGAACCAGATGAGGCTTTCGTCTTGCCATTAAGATGCGGATGAAAAGGAGTAGAACTTGCAGGCAGCCCTTGACTTATAACCACGGTTGAGAGCCCAACATTTCAGTCGCTGAGAAGCCAGAGCGTCGTTAACCAAGTTCTGCCCTGTTTTATAACAAACCGTGAAGTGAATCACGGGAGTTGTTCAGTTCGTGTCCCGGTTGTTCAGCAAATCTGACTTCTCTACCCGGTTTCATAAATGGGAAACAGATGCTAAGCATCTGGATTCTTGATTACATGACCACGGGGGACGCTGGGTGGGGAAAAAACAGACCCTAAGTGACTTTTTTCCAGTGGCGTGGTAACTTGGAACGGCTGCTAAATGAAAAGTTATAAGTCAAGGACTAGCTGTAAGTGAAACACAAGTTACGTTGAAGGAAGAGCAGAATTCTACATTTGCTCAAAAGCGAATTTGACCTTGAAGGGTAATAATAATGTTGGTTTGATTTTGTTTTAAGCTCGGTACAACCAATGGTTGGAACCTCAGCCGAACAGTGCTTATTCCGCTAACCAGAGTTTAACAAACTATGGTTTAGTAGTCCAATGGCAAGATCTGGAGTTGTGGGCAAACAGGCAGCTTCTCTAACCCGATATTGATCAATTCTATCAGCAGCTCAAGTGGTTTTATATTTATTTTTCTTTTCCTTCCGCCAGCTTAAAGGTAAAAAAGTTGGCCACTGGGAAAAAAAACCCGAAATAGATGGAAGAGAGGCTGAGTGCATTTTTCTTAGACAAATGATCTCTTGAACTGACATTTTATAAAACTGACTCTGATGGAATTTCTTTTTGTGTGAATAAAAGTGAATAAAAGAAAAAAAAACCCGTTCTACCTCTGGTAATAAAAGGTGTGTGGTTTTAATGCTTTTTTTTTTTAAAAAAAATTGCAATTGTGTGTGAGCAAAGAGGTGTTAAAATGTGTTTTTACTGAAAGCTGAGCAATTAAAACCCCTTCAGAAAGAAAGGAGTAAATCCATGTAAAAAAACACACCATCTATTGTCACCTTTTCAAGAGATTTCCTCTGATGGGTGCTGACTTCAATGCTATTCCTTCCACTGTATTAAAAAAAAAAACTTCTAAGTTTCTAATCCTCTTTGTTAAAGGGGAAATTTTTGGGAGGGGAAGGAAAAAATATGGAAATTCTCTGGAATTTTTAATCCAAGGCGCTTCTAACACTTCTTCTATTGCTCTTGAATTGGACGAAGCTCATTCAACTGCTCCTCGATTTATGGCCGTCCATAAAGTTACAACAGCATCCAAAGAAGCAACCGGTGACTGGTCCTCGCACTTACAACGGTTGCAAGCATCCCAACACAGTGATGGGATCAAAATTCAAGCAGGTGGTGTGTTCTTTACAACAATTGCAACAATTGTGTGTATGCGTGAGACGATTTTTCAACCTCTCCAGCCCTCCTTCCGACAAGCAAAGTCAGCAGGGAGGAAGCCAGATTCGTTGAACGACTGCATGATTCACTTAATGAGCGCAGTGATTTGCTTAAGAACCACAAACTAAAAAGGGGGGTGGGGGTCGTAAAACCAGGCGTGACTGTTCTGACCCAACCTGGTTCCAAGAGAGCAAACACAAGGAAAAGAAAGAGCCTTGCCAAGTAGTTCTTCAAGGCTGCCAAAAACCCACGGATAAGAAATAGTTTACAAGAGTTTTCAAATGCTAACTATAATGTCCACGAGGCTGAGTTTCAAAACGCCTTTGCTTCCTGCAAAGAACGCTTCTTCAAACCTGGCTTGTATCCTCTTGAGGGAGGGAGGGGCCATTACCTTTCAGCCTTACTCCCGAGTCGCCCGTGCTGTTGTAGTTGCTCTTTCTTGCGAGCAACCCTGCGTGCACGCACACTTGGCACAGGCTCCTCGGGAACCTCCTCATCGCTGCTGCCAACCCCCACAATCTCTGAAGGCAGCAGTCTACTCCCTGGAGGTCCTGGCCCCTCACCTGAGTCCTCACTCTCCTCAGCTGTCCGCACCTGCTGTCGGCTAACCACAACAGCGACTCAGTTCACTTAGCAACGAAAACTCTGCCCCCCTCCAATTTTGACTGTACTTCGAGAACCCCCCTGTAATTTATTTTTGGTTCTTTAGCCGACGGAAGAAAGAAACACGCGCACAAAGACGTTTGAGCTGTATAGAATGTATCTGTCAGTAAAGCCACCTACAAACCTTTTGAATATATACAATGTCTGTGTATCTATACATGCCTTCAAAAATGCCCTAAATAAATTCTCCATTGGGAACAGTTTCTTATCTTGGGCCGAGCCTAAAAAATATGACATCTGTGTTTGTATGCGTGTGTGTGTGTGTGTTTAAAAAGACTAACCTGCTCTTCTCAGGCACATGCTTCATGTTTTACGCAGCACTATCATTAAACCATGATTATCAGCCATTCTTAACAACAAGCCCTCCGGGTTAAGTCAGACTTTTTTTCCCCCACGTTGCAGCTGGGAAGGAGATTAAAGCCAGGCTGGGCAGCCCCTATCGGAAGATACCGGCAACGAGGAGATCCAGATCCCAAACGCCTCTCAGTCGCTCGGATTACGACATTTCGGCTGACGTCGGTTTGAGAGCGAGAGCGGGAGGAGACGTGATCCGGCTTGGAGAGCGACAGGCTGCGTGTCCGTCCGTCGGAAGGGGCTGCTTTCATCATCCAGACTGTTGGGCCGAAGGTGGCGGTGGTGCTGGTACGGGAGCTCACCTCTGGTGCCGGAAGGATTCCAGGAACGATCTTCTCCCCGTACGGAAATACGACTCGATCCGTTCCAAGGATTTCCCTTTGGTTTCGGGTATGAGATAGGTGAAGACGAGATTGATGACACAGATGGCGCTAAAGAAGAAAAAGGGGACCTCCAGGCCGTATCTTTCCTGGGAAGGAGGACAGATGTTGAGACGATCAGATGGGAAAAGGAGAAAAGCACTGACTGTAAAATAAAACAAAGCAAAGCAAAAAAGGGACCAACTCCATTCTGGCTTAGTTGTTGTGTGGAGTCCCTGGTTCTCTCTGTGTGGGGACGTTTCATGACCCAACTAGGTAACATCGTCAGCGTTACAAGGAGTGTGATTTTCTCCCTGTTTATACACAGTCGATCTGAGCTGAGTTTCTTGCAGACGTTCCACGACCCAACTAGGTAACATCATCAGGGCCAGTGAGTGTGTTTTTCTCCCTGTTTATATACAGTAGCTCTGAGCTGGCAGGTGTTTCACCATCGATGCTAGTGAAGGTGGAGTTTGCTCCCTCTATATACAGCAGCTTGCCCTATCAGGGTTGACCAGGTGCGATTTGCTCCTGAGTAGCTCCCTCCTTTTAACAGCATGGTTTTCTGCTTGGTTGTTTGTCTGGTGTAAATCCTTGCTTATCTGTATACAAACTGTATAGAAACGGAGAACGAACCCTACACTCACCAACACTGATGATGTTACCTAGCTGAAAACAACACCAAGGACTCCACAGTTCAGTTCTGGGCTAGGAATATTCTCTTCTATTGGCTGTTTTGATTTCCCACGTTAGCCTACTATCTGGGCATCTCACAGTGGTCTCTTTTCCAGATATGATTCAGCTCCAGTTCAATTTGAAAGGTTGGCTCTAGTTGTCCCCAGGGTGAAAGGAATCGATGATTAAACGTACAGTTCCACCTTGGCCATGTTCTTACCTTAACCAGCAAAAACACTTTGGTCAAGGCGAAGGCAGTTAACCAGCTCACCAGTACACAAAGGCCAGAGACCACTCCCCGTGCCTTCAAGGGAAGGACCTCTGCCATCAACAACCACGTGATGGGACCCCAACCCATGGCATAGCCTGGAAGAAGAAGAACAGAAGAATCCGTGAAACAAAGTCAGAAGCAGAAAGGAAATGAAGCCAGTCCTTGACTTAAAACCATTTGTTCAGAGACGTTGAAGTTTTGGATCCCATCTCCTATCAGATCCACGTAGCCAAAATTCATCCGTGGAACTCCTTGCCTCCAGAAGTTGTAAATACTCCAACACTGGATGTTTTTAAAGAAGAGATTGGATAACCATTTGTTTGAAGTGGTGTAGGGCTTCCTGCCTAGGGTTGGGCTAGAGGACCTCCAAGGTCCCTTCTAACTCATTCTATTATTAAATTCCACATTCTAGATTCTATTCTATTCTATTTTCTTTCTATTCTATTTTCTTTCTATTCTGTCCTATTCTATTTTCTATTCTATTCTATTCTGTTCTATTTTATTCTATTTTATTTTATATTCTCTCCTCTCCTCTCCTCTCCTCTCCTCTCCTCTCCTCTCCTCTTCTACACTACTCTACTCTACTCTACTCTACTCTACTCTACTCTACTCTACTCTACCCCTCCGGAGAAAGTTGACCTGGAGCCCAAACGTTGCCCTCCCCGCAACGCTTCCTGACCTACCTATGATGAAGCACATGGTGCCCACCAAAGGAATCACCGTGAGGCCCGCCATGGAGCTGTCGCCGAGGGCCAGGTGGGTCCCGTTCCCCACCGGCGTGGAAGAATTGTGGAGGAGCTGAGGGATGAAGTGGATGTAGCAGCCCAGGGTCAGATTGGAGGCGAACATGAGGCAAGCTAGGTGAGAAAGAAAGAGAAGGAAACCCCCCCCAGCTCAAAACCAAGGCAGGGTCCTCTTCCTGCAACCAGGTTCTCCCTGAATTATCCACCCTTGCCCATACGTCCTCGACTTAGAGCCTCTCGTTTAGCGACCATTTGAAGCTGGAAACGGCACGGAGAACAGGGCCTTACAGACAGTCCTCATGCTTACAACGGCTGTAGCGTTTCCCCCCCACGGTCACAGGATCAAAACCGGGGGGGCTTAAAGCGCGAGCCTCGCTCAGCCGTGGAAATTCTGGATGTTGTGGTGGCCGTTACGTTGAGGGGCTTCCCCCTCTGCTAAGAAGAGATGGGTGCCTGGGTGTGCGTGTGTGTGTCGAAGGGAGGAACCACAAAACCCATACCGGAGACGTAGAGGAGGATCTTCCGCCCAGCTTTATCCATCGAGAAAGCCGCCACCAGCACCGAGGCCAAGCGGACCCCTCCCACGAGGACAGCGTCGTACTCAGGGGCCTGCGGACAGAGGTCAGAAGAATGGCTGGGAGCTGTCGATCAAGCGGGGTGGTTCTTTTCGTCCGTCCGCTCTGGGATTCTATTCTTTATGAGCCTGGTATTTCACGCCCCCCCCCAGCTCCTTTCTTTCCTATTTGACCCGTGGATACAAAGACCTCTAAAACCTGCCCTTTTTAGAAGAGAAGAGAAAATATAGGATAGGATAAGATAGGATAGGATAGGATAGGATAGAACAGAACAGAATAGAATAGAGAACAGAATAGAATATAGACTAGACTAGATTAAACTAGACTAGACTAGAATAGAACAGAATAGAATATAGAACAGAATAGAACAGAATAGAACAGAATAGAATAGAATAGAATAGAATAGAATAGAATAGAATAGAATAGAATAGAATAGAATAGAATAGAACAAGGAATAGAATAGAGAAGAGAAGAGAAGAGAATATAGAATAGGATAGGATAGGATAGGACAGGATAGGATAGGATAGAATAAGGAATAGAAAAGAATAAGGAATAGAATAGAATAGAATAGAATAGAATAGAATAGAATAGAATAGAATATGGAATAGAATAGAATAGAATAGAATTCTTTATTGGCCAAGTGTGATTGAACACACAAGGAATCTGCCTTGGAGAATAGCTTGACCTGCCTCCTCCTCTCTGGGGCAGCCCCTCAAATATTGGAAGGCTGCTCTCCTGTCTCCCCTGGTCCTTCTCTTCCCTAGACTAGCCAGGCCCGGTTCCTGTAACCATCCGTCATATGTTTGAGCCTCCAGTCCCCTCATCATCTTGGTTGCTCTTCTCTGCACTTTTAATCTAGATTCTCAACATCTTTTTTATCTGAACATAGAGGAAAAAATAAGAAAGGATGGCAGAGAGATTGAAGTTAAGAAGAGACAGATTTTGAATTGGCAACTTTAACCCCTGTGGATTTTTTTAACTCCCAGAATTCCCCAAGGCCAGTTATGCCGGCTGGGGAATTCTGGGGGTTGAAGTCCATGAGTCTTAAAAGTTACTAAGGTTGCCGTCCTCTGCTCTACAGGCCGACTTACCAGGATCACCTCCGTGCTGTCGAAGATCAGCTGCAGATAGACCAGGATTGGGGTGACCCCTGACAGCTGCTGGAGGAACCTCATCAGCAAAGTAATTGCGATGGGCTTGATGATGTGAGGCTTGCGGATTTCCGTCCAAGTGATGGGCTGACTCTGGAGAAACACAGAGAAAGTCAAAGGGAGGAGAAAGCTTGGAGCTCGGGCTTGAATTGTGAGGTCCTTGGTGCTCTCTGAGCTTGGTGGTTTTCCTGGAGACGTTTCATGACCCAACTAAG